TTAGATTGACTCTAATAACGAACTGATCTTAGCGATAATATCTACGGGTATACATTCTCTGAAGGTTCAAGCGTGAATGTTTTCTTCACATGCGACAAACGTTAACTTATTGGTAATATTCACGTGCGAACCATCAAACATCAACTACTCCCACCTTCATTTTGAGATCAAATGCCTGTTATATGTCCGCCATAATTGAGAAACATATGAAGCGGAGTAGAAAACTTCATCCAATATAGAAAATTTCGTGACTGGAAATCTCAGAACTTATTATTAACTTAAAACAGATCGAAAATAGTTCAACATTAGACAGACGCACAGATCAAGCCCATTTCTTACACCCTACGAATTTCTTCTTTCAAAATGACTATATTCACGCAAACGTCCTTGATAACGACTTCCTTAGATCAATGAAAGTAATAACGTCAGCGATAGTCTGGAAAAAGACAAACAAACAGCTCTTGAAACAAATGACTGCTTCGGATACTCATTATCAGCGCACCAGGCATATATCTCTCATGCGACGACTGTCGATATAATAAGCACGTAAAAGTATCGTTTAAACTTCGTTCTCAATTCAACATCATTGCGCAAAACTGCGTAAAAACAATAGAGGAGAAGAAGAAGAGAGATTACTTGTTAACTATCTCTTCTGTTTTCTGCAAAACGATTTTATTCAGCTTTCATACACGTACATAGGAATAAAAGCTAAATAATTTTATTATTTACATGCACATTCTGTTTGAGTCGCGTCATCGTCTAATACAAAACGCGTAGGTTATTAAATTAATTTTTCTTCTCGTTAACGATGAAGTAATTCAGAACGAAGTTACAACGCAAATATTGAAGATCGTTTTTTCTAACGATTTTCCAAGACCGTTTTTTTCGAAGATTTTATAACTCAGCCAAATTGAAGTCTGAAGATCTGAAAAATTTTTCATTTCTACAGTTACACATGTAGAATACTATAGACTAATAAAAAGTATATGCTAAAATTTTCATGTTTTGACCTTCTTCGAAAATGCTTGGTGCTCTTATGCATTCTGTCTCAAACGCCGTCCTATGACTATAAAAACCACTCTTTAAGGTACAACGTAATTGTAAGGATTCTTGTCAGTGGAAATTGAAATTTTAAACTCCACTAGTGAAGATTGAAATTTTAAATTCCACTGTAACATATACATTTAGATGATTTTTGATATAGACCAATAAAGTCGAAACGCGTTATTCAAGTCATCTATCTTAACATCAGCAGTTTCAAAGTTATAGCCCTCGATTACAGAAAAGTATATTTAATTTTGAGAGACAAATTTTTCTCTCTCTGTTTTAACCTATTAAAGTTTGAATCCTTATACTACAGCTGTTTATACATTATGTCTTCAACGACTACTCCTGCTTCCTCACCATCAGCCGACAACAGTAATGATATAGAAGAATCATTTCGATTATTTTGTCAATATATACATCGGAAAAGTACGGAAATCGATTTAACATCTGGTAAGTTTGATTAAGTCAATTATTTACAAAACTGAATTGTTATATTCAAACAAAGAATTTAGTTTTCTTTATATATACCCATAAATGTATGGAATAATTCGTTATAATAATGACCACGATATATTTATTAAAACACAATTAGATAAATCATTATTAACGTCAATTTCCTCGGCAATAATTGATATGATTAATAAGTTTCATAATATGCTATTTAAAAATACATTAGATGATGTCAAAATTAATGATTGGCTTTCAAAACATCAAGAATTTCGCCAGTTACTCAATTTATCATCAAATCAAAATCTGGCTTTTACCAAGGTCCTTGAAAAATTATATGAACTACAAACTTCGGATGATAATTTTGGATTTCTTAAAAACTTACTCGAATTATCATTCTTATATTTCGTTTATTCTTTCTATGATCTTCAATCCAGAGAATTTCATTTGAAGCTATCTTCGTCACCATCAATAGCAATAACAACTATGGCATCCTCATCAATTAACTTGCATCAAAATTCACCACCTATTTTATGTTCATTAGTATCATCGTCACAAACTACTAGTGATAGTAATTAGAAGGTATAGCGGTAGGAATAATAAAGTAAAATAATTTGTATAAGACCGCAACAAAATACATATTAAGAATTTTAACCAAATTCAATAATTTTATTTTTCAATTTCGAGCTTTCGGTACTGACTCGTACCATTGTCAAGAAATAAATGACAACAAAACAATTTACATTCTCTGTATATCCCAAAATGTGACTCTTTTGCTATTTGACATATCGGAAGAACAGAAAAAG